GAATCATCATTCACCACAGGAGGTGAGGTAGTTGAGTCTGGACAAGGACTAGGTTCAGTGGGGCTATTTGATTGAGCCGATGGGGAGGGTGAAGGTTCTTCAGTGTATGCCGCTTTAAGTCTGTCTATGCTGACAGTGTCTGGGCGGCCGCATCGGTCAATAACGAAAAATTTATCTTTACGACTAAGGACCTTAAAAGGCCCGTCATACGGTGGTTGTAATGGCTTTCGTATGGCGTCGTGACGCACGAAAACGTGTGTACAGTCATCAAGTCGCCGATCAACCTGAACCTTTCGGTTCTGAGTGCGTGTGGAAACTGGTCGGAGTCGCTGCATAAAACTTTTAAGTTGCTGAGCGTAACGGGTGGTATCGGGAAATTTGGCTCGAAAGTTTCGGGAGCGATTAGCTCGCCTGGTAAACGCATGGTGGTACCGTACACCAATTCAGCTGGCGAGCACTGCAGATCCCCCTTAAGCGTAGCCCGGATGCTAAGCAGGACCAGTGGTAGCGAATCTGTCCACTTACTGTTGTCCACTGCCATCAACGCAGCTTTGAGTTGACGGTGGAAACGTTCTACTAGGCCATTTGCCGCGGGATGATACGCGGTTGTGCGAATGCGTTTGCATCCCAGCATCTCTAACAATTCTTTGAAGCTTGTGGATTCGAATTGTTGTCCGCGGTCGGTAGTGACAGTTGCGGGACATCCAAAATGGGCAACCCAGCCTTCCATGAAGGCACGACAGACGGTTTGAGCCGTTACATCTGGTATCGGAATGGCTTCCGGCCAACGTGTGAAACGATCCACACATGTGAGTAAATACGAGCAGCCGTTAGACGGGGGCAGAGGCCCTACTATATCCAGGTGGATATGATGGAACCGAGCGTCTGGGGTCGCAAACGTCCCCAACGGCGTGATGTTATGCTTGGTGACTTTAGCACGTTGGCATTGCACACAAGCACGTGTCCATTGACGCACATCACGGTTCATACCGGGCCACGCAAATCTCGCAGAAATCAACTTGTCCGTTGCTCGTATGCCAGGATGGGAGAGGTTGTGGAGTGACTCAAACACAGTTCGGCGTAAAGACGTGGGAACAATCGGTCGAGGAGTACCAGTTGACATATCGCAAAGTATAGTTGCCTCACTGTTTAGCAAGGGGACGCGTTCTATCTTCAGTGAGGTTTTATTTGACAGGTGTTCTAAGTTCAAATCGTTCAGTTGGAGTTCGGCCATTTTATGAAGATCGATGGTTGGTGGTACGGACGTAGCACATACGCGAGACAAAGCGTCTGCTACCGCGTTATCCGATCCAGAAACGTGCTGGATATCAGAAGTGAACTGGGAAATATAGTCTAAATGGCGTGATTCTCGCGGTGAATACCGGTCTGAAGTAGTGTGGAGGGCGTACGTCAATGGCTTATGGTCGGTAAATACCGTAAATTGCCGGCCTTCCACGAAGTGACGAAAATGCTTGACAGCAGCATAGACAGCGAGAAGTTCCCTACCGAATGTGCTGTATCGAGATTCGCATGCGGTAAGTTTACGTGAAAAGAAAGCAATCGGTAGCCATACATTAGCCATACGCTGTTGTAGGACGGCTCCGATCGCAGTATTAGAGGCATCTACGGAGATGCTGATTGGAAGTTGAACATCTAGATGGACCAACATTGTGGCGTCAGCAATAGCTTTCTTGATAGCTGCAAAAGCTGTCGAGGCTTCCTTAGTGAACACCAAAGACTTGCATTTCCCTTTAAGCATATCAGTCAAGGGGGTCACGATATGAGCACACTGTGGGATAAAGCGACGGTAGTAACTAACCATCCCGAGAAAAGTGCGTAGTGCCTTGGGAGAAGTGGGTAGAGGGAAGTTTTGAATAGCTTCTACCCGGTCAGGTAACGGATAAATTCCATCTTTGTCTATCCTATGTCCCAAAAATTCAGGGAAGTGACTCCAATCTGACACTTCGGCAAGTTGAGTGTGAGGGAGTGTGTCACAAGTCTTCGGAAAACTGTCTGCAAATGAAGTTGATGAGTGGCTTCATCTGGACTAGCTACCAAGATATCGTCCAGATAGGCGAAGGCGAAATCAAGCCCGCGCAAAACGTCATGTATAAAACGCTGGAAGGTTTGGGCAGCGTTCCGTAAGCCAAAAGGCATTCGAAGAAACTCGAACAGGCCAAACGGTGTAATCACAGCAGTCTTAGGTATATCCTCGGGGTCGACGGGAATCTGGTAGTAAGCCCGTGTAAGGTCCAGTTTGCTGAATACTCGAGCTCCCTTGAGTGAGGCGGTTAAATCGTGTATGTGCGGGACAGGGTAGCGATCGGGAACAGTTTGTGCGTTTAGTCTGCGGTAGTCGCCACAAGGACGCCAATCTAAACCGTTATTCTTAGGTACCAGGTGCAACGGTGAGGACCACGGGCTGCTGGATGGCCTAATAATCCCCATTTCTAGCATATGCTCAAACTCCGCTTTGACAACCTTTAGTTTTTCTGGGGATAGTCGCCTCGGCTTTGCGAAAACTGGCGGGCCAGTAGTGACAATATGGTGTTTGACGTTGGAAGTCGCACATGGCAGGCCGCTGCTAGGTTTGAACAAATCTGAAAAAGACTGCAGTATATGCGAATAAGGACCAGTGCTAGTGGGTGTGGCATATACAGGGCTGAGGGCTGGGCCTTGTGTGACGATACCGCTGACGGAGAGGTTTGTGACAGGATCTCTTAACTTATGATTACCTGTATCTACCAGTAATTGGTAGTGCTGCAATAGATCCATGCCAATTATACCTGTGGTAACGTCTGCCACCAGGAAGACCCAACGAAGTGAACGACGCAAACCGATGTTAAGATCTATAAAGCGCCTGCCGAACGTAGCAATTGGCGAACCGTTTGCGGCTCGTAGTTGAAGAGACATTGGCCGCCTGCGCTCCTCTACTGTGGGTGGGATTACACTGACCTCTGCTCCGGTATCAATTAGGAAGCGTATCCCAGTGTTACGGTCGGTAACATAGAAGAGGCGACATGAGAGTGGTTCGCCAGCGACGTTAGTCGCCAGTACGTGCTGGCTTGCTAGTTTCCCGATTGTTGAACATCGAAGGTGCACGGGCGAGTGCACTTTTGGGCTTTTGCTCCGTAACGTCGATGATACCAGCACACTCCAGGCTGGTTACTTCGGGACTGTCGGCGCTTGCTGCTAGCACGTGGCAAGGGTCTACTACTGCGCGAACTCGAGGGACTGCGTCCACGACTCCTGGAGTTCATCTCCTGTCGTATACTACAGATCTCCTCGTATAGCTTGGCAATATGGGCCACCGCGTCAAAGCTTGATGACCCCCCATCAGCCATCTTGCACACAAGACACAATATTAACAAGGTGATAAAAAAAACAATATAAGTACAAAGAAAACAAATCAAATCTTTATAACCGTGCGTGAAAAAAAAAAAAATAACAAAATAAACGGTACGTAAAAAGAATTGTTAACACGTTAAGAAACTATGGCGGAAAACGGTGAAAACGGGCTCACCACTTGTAAGTGTTGAGGTTAGACTTAAGATAGTCTTCGATATCACCACACTTACTAAAAACTTCACCGTCTTATGACTTTACCAGTACTCTACCTAACGTGTAAGTACTGATTAACTCAATCAAAGTTTAAAAGCTAACAATGGAAAGAATTCTTAGTATGAGTTGTATTTAACGTAAATGAATAACAGATTTAATAAATAAAGTGACTGTACAACTTATCTGCAGACGTTGCTGGAGGTAGGCTCGGAGAGTGTGCAGAAAGAGAGCACAACAAGAGAGCGAACCAATGAACGTACGGAAGACTCACAAGTCAAAAGGTAAAACGTGGATCACCGTGGGTGAGTCAGTTTAAACAAAAGTTCAAAGGTACAATGTGCACTACAGGTGTTTCGGGCGACATCTCACAGTGATGCAATCAATGAAGTCATTCGAGAATTTGAAACAAACTTTGTAGATATGGACCATTTTGAGTGAATAAAAGTTGCAACACCTCCACCACATTTTTTCTCGGAACAAACACGGTCCTGTCGAAAAACATTGAAATTGTTTAGAGACACAATATCGTCATCGCGTGAGTCATGGAGCCAGGTTTCTTGTAGAGTGACAATACCAGTATTGTGGTAGGTACTAGAAGACAACAGAGACTGAAAGTCCAGAATTTTATTAGGCAGGGACCGGCAGTTGGTACTAATGATAACTGCAACAGTGGTGTGATGTATGGGTGTAGATTTTAAAACTCGCTGCCAACCTCCATGGTGCTTTTTCTTGAGTTTATTGCAAATATGAAAGTTATTGGGTTTAAAACGTTTTATAAAATCCCGGGAGTGGATAGTACGATTAGAATGCATGATGTGATATGTAAATACCAATAAAATACGAGTAGATAGATGCAAAAAGTACATGGGATGTGGTAGTCCAAGTATATTCAAACAGGCCGCCAAGGTCATTCGATGTTGATTTACACAAGAAATACTTTGAAGACAGAGATAACTGCATTCGCGTTCTTAAAAATATTAATCACTCTTAATATTATTATTCTGGACAGTGTATGCACAATTTCACCATGGGTTATTGCATAATAATTTCATCTTATGGAGGAATTTCTAGCGAGAGAGCCATCCTCAGTGCACCATGTGCCACAATGCTGTTCGATCTGAAGAATGAAATAATCCTTAATTGTATGTTTCTTTGGTGTTGTAGGGATGCGAAGCAGCAGGTTGAAAGTCAATTAAAAGTTTGAGGGAGTACATCTGACAACCCATGGTCATAAATGAATGATCATGACAATAAGAACTACAGAAAATAAGAGGCACTGTACCGCAGAAAATTAGGCTATCGTAGAGACAAGTACTACTGAGATTCATCTAGTCAATCAAAATTTCGAGTAGTATAAGAAGTTCAGTAGTATTCCATCATATTTCGGTTTCTTGAATGCTTTCTAAATTTTATGGATTTCGTCCATTTGCATTGTCATTGTTTAACCAGTTCACAACCTCCGGATAAAATCTGGTGGCAAATTGATTTTGTAAGGAGATGACGAACAGAGATATTATAACGTAATAACTTTCATGAGTTGTCAGTTAAATTTTCATTTTCGATAGGGAGGATGCAACTTTCAAGGCAAATCATATCGCTAGTTTTATTGAGGGGGATGTAAAACTTACCCCAAAAGGGGTTGTTCACCACATTAACAAAATACATGAAAGCGACAGGATAGAAGAAACACCCTGCATTGTCAAGCTTGACAAAAAGGGGATTCAAGTGGAATTAATATCGACTGGGGTATGAAATGTGTTATCTGTGTTCATGCTACTTTAAGGAAGTCGTTGAATTTTTTGAATGGCCTTCTATAAGTGACGAGATTGCAATGTTAAAACGTTCTGAAAGCTTCAACTATGGTTATCTCATACTATTTCGGTGTTCCCAGTATAATGCAGAACTCAGGCGTGACGAGTCTGAATTACATGTTTTTAGCTGCGAGACTCAAGAGGATTCCAAATTACTTGTTGACTCTATTCATCACCATATCTGTGCGAGTCTGTAAGATTATTTCTTAAGTAATATCATTCCCCTAGAAAGCAAAATTTAAATGGTGGTACGGCCAAAAATTCTGAAATCACTCTGCGCCGCGGAAGATCTGAAGAAGTAAGTCTCCTATTTTCAAAACTTATATTTTAAGTGCCTTCTATTTATTCTTTGAGTACGATATTTAAACTATTCCAGTTTCCTGCACACCTCTTCCTAAGGAACTTATTGGTTTTCCTGTCCTACAAGAATTCTTTATCTGTCGTCCAGTCTTAGATCTACTTCATAATAAGTTTATTATTAGAAATGATGTTATCCCAGAACACTGGTTTTTCTGTTCAGAACGATATGGAACTCAGAATATTCATAGTACTTACAACACATTGTTACCAATCTTTTTTAATGTAACAAGCAATGACCTATTTCTGCTTAATGTAAAATCCCGAAAGGATATATTATTCAGCCGATTACATCACATAACTTTAGTGTCGATAAAATACATGCTTTTTATTTCACTATTGCTAAACCATTCACAAGAAGACTAACTTTTAGGAAAATCGTTCCTCGGAAGACCGTGACTGACGTATACCTCATTTTAAACGATTAATCTTTCAAGTGTAATTTCACGGTCAGGTATATTCTCTTTACTCCACATTTAGCTTAACATCAGTAATAAATCATAGCTTATTTATGTAAGACATTTTAGTCGGACATTTTAATTAAGAGTGGACACGTTACTACAGTATCTGGGTATCTAACTGTCCTTGTTGACCTTACCATTTGGTTAACACAACAATATTATTGATAATTTGGTGTGAACACTTCTTGAATACTAATACTACTCTGTATTACATGCAGTACAACCCACTTATGCCATCATACAGGTAAAATATTGTGTCTCAAATAATTTTAGTAGCACTGCATTTCAAATGGGATGTTTTGCAGTATCATGTCTCAGTTATCTATTCGTAAAAATAAGTCCCAGACTGATTCATAATCACACTTATTAAGCGATTATTGCTTGTTCATAGGGTGACTTTTTAAGTAGTTTTACACCACAGGCTTATAATTTTGTAGAAAAATATTCCATTAATGATATAGAGCCAAAAATAAACTATTCCTTACTTTAATTTCTGACAATACGTTCTTAGTATAATCATAAAACTTTTCGGAGCTTTTCTACAAAATTTCTCAGTTTAAATTAATCAAGAATATGGCTTCAAACTTTAAAGCCTGATAAATATTTAATCTGCGTCTGCTCAGTTAGTGAAAAGATCAACCTCCAAAAAGCTACACTTAACTAAAAACACCTTGATCCTAACTAAACAAACGAATTTAAATAATTTTGAGTTTTACGTCTTGTAAATTTACTACCATTACTTAAATAAACAATTTCTTAACGTTATCCGTATGTACTGAAGTTTTAAGGAGAGAAAATTTCCTTGTACCAATAGACTATTTCATATTCATTGATTCCCTTATGATAATTGGGCCTATCATTATATATATAGCCACTTTCAAAGACTATAGGATACAATTTTACCACCGAATCTGGCTATTTGACTATGAGCATGTACGTTGACTCTATATGTATACTAATATTTCATTTTTTCGCAAAGAGGTGGAAAAACAGAAGATTTGTCGGCAAAACCTTTTAGGAAACCTCATCGCCTTACTCCGACATAGCTGTAAATTTGAATCACACTAACCAGCCTTTGCATATAATGTGGATATTCCCTATCCCACATTTCTTTGTATGTGCATCGGTGGCGCGGTGGTTAGGACTCTCGCCGACCATGCAAATGGTTCGAGGTTCGATCCCCTGCCACCCCACACCTGATATCTATGGTCGGCCTGCAAAATTTGGGCTACCGATATCCGTGCTGAAAACTCCATACTTGTACCAAAAATGCAGTGTGGAATCAAGCGGTAGTAAAAAATTGATTAATTTAGTTTGATATGTTAAATCAAAGCAGGAATATTATTATTTGTTTCCTGGCTGATCTTATAATTATTATTATTCCCTTGCTTTTCGAGTGGAATATAGAGCTTCAAAAGCAGATCTCTATTTTATCCTGTTCTCTGAAGTCCTTTTTAGATGACTACAAGGCTGCCTATAGACTGTCATCTCCTCCTCACATGATCTCCTCCATGTCACTGACAGAACCATGCTCAAATCGTAATTTCTCGTTCGGGTTCCACTCGACAGATGCGCAATCTCACTCTATGGTCTCCTCAGAGTGTGTCCGATCTATCCCCACTTTCTCCAAGATATTTGTGACGGAATAGGTTTTTCGTTAGTTTGATGCTATAGTTTCTTGGTGCTTGCCTTTCTTGGTTGGCCACCCGCTCTTAAGTATGGAGCAGGCTAATGTATCAGCTGTTGATCAAAGCCTCAAGACGCCCGCTCACGCATCCGCCAGGTTTCTGCCCAACATAGAAACAGTAACTGATTTGACATTGGTGCTGAAAATCAGAATTTCGTTCTTTATGCTGAATGCAGTGCAGAAGATTTCCAAAACAATTTTATAGTGATGAAGGCCTACCTGGCCTTTCTGATCTTGATTTTCACATCGTCATCCCGATTTTCGCGTGCTGTTGAAGAGATGGTAGATACAGAGATTAGAAATTAGGCTGATCTAACTAGTAATGATAATTTCTACCATTATCTTAGATATTGGGGTACAAATTTTGTTCTGATGAGTAATTTTAGTTATTTTATTTATTGAATAACATTAGCAAGTTAGTGTAATGGCAGGCTTTCGATAGAGATTACGTTTAGTGTACCATTTAGCCCTGGACTGAGCTTTTCTATGTAATCTTGCCTTTTCTAAGATTGAACTAACCTTTCACAAATCTATTTAAACAAGAATGCCATTAGTAAAAAATTATATTTGTAAAATCTCAGCGAGATTGTAATGAGTAATTCCAACGTTTCGTTTGGCGATCTGGTCCAAACTACTTCAGGGAAATTAATCGAAATTAACATAACAGAGGTTTATATATTAATCGAACATCTCTTGTTTTTAAAAACTTTGTCCAATCATGGGTCATAAAATAACAAGAATAATAAACAAAATTGTATGAGCTGTGATCAAAATTTGACCTCGGACCTACAAATATTGGTCTACTTTTGTTAAACAGTTTAAACAGTGTGTATGTGTGTTTGTTTGGATAAACAGTTGTAAAATAATGTCTTAACGTCTCCATAAGTAGATATAGACAGTCGGGAACTTTGACCAAGTATTATTAATTAGTGATACATATCCATTTTTATTTATTAATCAGGATTTCCTATGCATCAGATAACAAGATCACACCTTCATGTCTGTTTAAACTGCTAGTATCTAGAATTTTATTATTAGACGTATTTTCAAAATTATGGTGTTTAGGATTGGAGTTTAGTTGGAGCACCCTGTCGGACTTATTGCTTTCTCTTCTTTCTGAATATTGGGATGCTTTATTCGATTTACTAGAGCTGTCAGGTGACTCGACAGCTACGGATTTAAGATATGCATTCTATTGCAGACGACGAAGAGTGAAAACACGATGATTGTGCCAATTACATAGTTTCTTTGTTAATTTAATTCGATTGCAAATAATTCAAATGAACTGTCGTCAAGGTTTGACAGAATAGTTCTAAAATATTTGGGTTCCGAGTGAGAAGTAGACATTTGAAGAAGTTCGCAACAGATTACCGAACGAAACGCTGGAATTACTCATTTCTATCTCACAGAGATTTTACAAATGTCTACTTCTCACGTGGCGCCCAAATATTTTAGAACTATTCTGTCAAATGTTGACGACATTTCATTTGAAGAATGCCATTTGTAGTAGATTTCATATTGGCTAGAGGAATTTCTTGCAATACTACCAAAAAATGGTCAATCAATCTGCGTAAATTTTTATTATTTTGCATTGTATTTATGATCTGAATTTGGAATTTCATGTTAATGTGTCTTGATCATAAGCCTAATTAAGTATTTGTTACACATTGTATCGATAGTTAAGCCGGTAGTAAGTATCTTATAAACGACAGTCTTTATCATAAAGCAGATGGCTTTATTATTATAATCATCATCATATTTACTACTTGAATAAGGGTTTATACTTTTAAAATATTTGAAAAGACAATTAAATACATGTAAGGCGACCTAAAAGTATACATCATATCTACTTGTACTCTTGAAGCAGTTCACTCAGCAATAAAAAACCCTGTTTACCACACATATCACGTGAGTAAATATGGAATATTATTGCATACTTTTTAAGTCAATAATTGTATAAAATCATTATGCATCATTTGAAATAATACAACAGAGTATATAGGCAAGGTCACTGTACCTAAATATTCAAAATGCATGTAGTTTTTACTGTGATGAAAGCGATAAGGTTTTCCTGTTATTATTATTATTATCCAACCCTTGAATTCTAACAGGCAGTTTCTCGGACTCTAATTGAAATTAGACAATAACCTTCGAGTAGTAGTAAGTCGTAACTTGCTTCGCTAAGAGATAATACCACTTATACTCCTCATCAGATGCTCATAATTCGACCTAACGATGATATATGGGCTACTTCAGGCACCTTGAGAATCAATGTCAAATAAGCGAGATATTAGATTCAAAGTGCAGTCTCAGGTGAGAAGTTGAATGACAACGGTACTGTGTCCATTAACAAAGTAGTTATACTGCACATGATTCGCATTATGATAGCCAATATTGATCACCCTTACTGTCACCAATAACATATACAGTTCGGTCTTACTGAAGGTAGGAAGTAAGGCGAATTCACCTACTTTAGTATTAATAGGCAAAGGTGCAAATCACTGAATGAACCTAAGTCTTCCAAAGGTTATGCATCGTATAGTATGGAGGTGAATGCATGAAACACAGCTTCATTCCGGTTAATTTCTAATATCCAGCTTCAGGCTGTATAATGACGATAGTCGGCTTCTGCAAACAAGGATTTATTATTATATTATCATTCCCTTGGGTTCCGAGTGAAACATAGGGCCTGAACAACACAAATCCACTTTCTTCTATTTGCTTCTGTCCTCTCCAGCTGCATCCATGATTGCTCATAATGTCTCATCTCCTCCTCTCCACACGATCTCCAAC